AATTAACTATACTAGAACAGAACTAGTTTAGCCCTGTACATATGTATTTGTTTGCATATTATTGATGTTATTCAAGTCAACATAGTGGAGAAGAGTTTCTCAATTTCACGCAGATCTAACATGTCCATGTGCTCCTCCTCCTTCTGTAACATTTCGTGATGTTATAAAAATGAAAAATTAACGATTTTTTCCATTTAATAGGCTATTCAATTAATATCTCATTTAAATAAATATCTTAAAGAATACTTTCTTTTCCCCTGATTGTGTGTAATTTTCATTTACTTAAAATTATTACATCTATAAATAGATGTATTTATGCGTGTGTGTGTGTTTGTTTTTGTATACTATGTCAACTTGACTGTTCTACGTGCCATTAGCCACATAGTGCACAACATGTACTATATTTATATTCGTGAATGTTCCCACAAAAGAAATTTTATATTATTATTATTTTTTTTTTTGCAAATGAATTTTCTATTCATTTCAAAAAAATTCCAAACCCCACTTGAATTATCATTGCAATTGTGGTAATTTTCGAATATTATTAGTTGTTGTTGTTGTTCATGTACTTGCAGTTCTTGTCTAATCTGGACAATTATTAAAGAACTTTGATCGCAAAAATATGTATATATAATTCTATTGTTACACTTCAACAGAATGATGAGCACATTCCATCAAACAAAGCTACACTCCAACACACCCCTTATCCCCCCGATTAGTAAATCAGTTTGCCTTTTAGCTAATATTTGTTAGTGTTCTAATCGAGATAACAACGATTCAATGTAGTTGGTACGTTTCATGTGTGTGTTTGTGTGTGAGAGAGTGTTTGTTTACTAAGAACGCGTAATAAATTCTCGCTATTTAAAACTTTAGAATAGCTGCGGAAAACGTTTACGGCATTCAAATGTTTGTATGTGTAAGTGTTTGTGTGTGTGTGTGGGGTAAATATAATCGAAAGCGAAAGTAATTCATGATAAGAAAGTGCAGTAGAAAAATGCGAGCGTAAACAACAGCATTGATGTTGTTGTTGTTGTTGGGGTTTTTTATTGTTTACGCTTAATTTTCTGTTCCACCATTCAGTTGGTGGAACAACCAAGCAAATATTTACAACATCCACTGACACGACAATTTCAGTAATAAATATCATCGCAGATTTACTTAGTAGTTTAACGGTAGTGGAATCGATTCATAGCATGGGTAGTAGGATCTTTATTCATTAGTTGGGCATAGTATACAACCTAATTAATCCATATAATCGAGAAATATTGGTAAAATTGCTATCGACAAGTCCATCCGACTATTTTACTTACAAATTTCACTAAATTGCAAACAAATTTCAGGTCGCATTTATATTTATCAGGTTAAGATCTTGCACAACGTACTGAAGTTAGGAAAGCCTAAAGTGTGTCAATTTTTATTGAAATCGGCTCAGATTAAGATGTATATTTTCTATATATGTTCTTCTGTTTTTTTAGTAAATGGTGCACCAAAGGGCCAATAATAGGCCGATTGACACGAAATTTTACACAGCGGAATGAAGTTAGGATATCCTAATGAGTGTCAAGTTTTATTGAAATCGGTACAGATTTAAATATAGCTTTTCGGAATTAGCTACAATATTTTGAATAACATATCGAAATGGGACAAAATTAACTACTGGTATGTTTAGATGAAAATGGTTCAAATTTAGATTAAGCTCCCATATATATCTTCGTCCGATTTTTGTTAATTGAGCATCAAGTACTCAATGTGTCTCCGATTGCGACGAAAGTTTAAACAAGGTATTTTATTGAGCCCTTAACCTTTGTTTTTTTTTTTAATTGGTGCAGATGCAAATATGACACAAGGCGTTATTTTCAGTTTCTCTCGCATAAGTTAGGCAACAACTTTTGCTAATTTTTGGACTAAAATTGATATTTGTGGAACAAAACTACTAATTTGATTCCGAAATGTTGTTTTAATTGAATTTAATTAAATATTTTAATTCTAATAAGAAACACTTTGTGAACCGGTCATATGACTAATGGCCAGTCATACCTGTTGTCAAATCAAAAAAATTATGAATAATTTGATAACTTTATATATATATATATATATATATTGTTTTTTTTTCGTCAATTAATACATTTCTTTTTACGACTGATGTTGGATTGCGTGTGAACAAATTGTTTATGTCAATCTTTTGAGACTTTTCAATGCATAAAATTAAAATATGGGGAAAATAATTAGAATTATTGTAGCTTACTTGTTGTTGTTTGTTAACGGTGTTCTATTGTCTTACATTTCCCGCATATGATGGGGATTATGAAACCAATAAAGGCTAAGACGATGTTGTTGTTTTTGTTGTTGTTATTCTTAATGTTATTATTTGTCAATAAACATGTAGATTTAAGTAATCAAATTTGAATTTCGACCCACCCTTCATGCACAGATACATTCTGCATACGCACACACACGCGCACACAGAATTGCACACAATATCATATTAAAATTTGCATAAATTTGTTGTTTGTGTGCTCACAGGTGGAAAACTACCGTAGGCCTTTTCTTCAATGCAAATTAAAATATTTAAGTAAAGCCCGACAAATGCAAGTCAAAATATAGAATATTTTTTGTTTATAGAATTTCAAAGGATTACAAAACATTTGCCACTTATGAGGAGTATTTGAAGTTTTACTAAAAGTCTACAGATGTGAATTTCACAACTATGGCCAATTGTTGGCAGATGTGGTCGTTTTCTCAATTCGAATGTAGGCCCTCTTTGTTGCCGTCTCATTCCGGCGAATCGGCTCTTATAGAACAAAGAAAGTGTTCAATGTCCTGAGCATATTTATAACATAGATTCAAATAAGCTTTTAACACATTTCAAATTGAATGGAACAATGTCCAGGCATACACATGCACACACGCACTCACACACACACACACTCAACGGATGATATTGTTTATGGCCACGTGTGTTTAATTATAACATGTTACAGTTGTTGTCGTTGGTGTTGTTGTCATGTTTCAGATGGCCTATTGCATCAGAATGGTTGTGGGATGAGAAGGCGAGGGGAGGAGCGGGGCGGGGAGGTGCATTTGCATTCATTAATAATGAAGTATGCTACACTTGTAAGGAATATATATATATATATGTATATTGGCATGTGTGTGTTTGTGGGTGTGAGCTGCAGTCATTATTTGCTTATATTAACTGTTTTGATTTGAAATTATCAGAATGAAATTGAAATCAAACTACATTAGCACATAACGCACACACAAATGCTAATGCACTGATTCAACACACACTTCCACACACACACACACACTCGTGCACATTTATGGTCATGAAATTCCAATAAAATTGTAAATTTTAATTTATAACGATAGGTATCATCATTAAATTCAATACAAACTAATTTACAGACATTGCAGTAAACCAAATGTGCGTAAACATATGGTCCTTCAAGCACACACCAACACACGTGTGCCAGCACACAATCAGGCGTATAGTATGTCATAAAAATTGAAAATACAGTGGTATATTAATAAATTGTTTAAACAAATATTGACAATGAATAATAATCGATGGTAGTATTCAAATGCTAGAGCATTCGTTTACTCACAATAAATGAAAAACAATGGATCAGCTGTTTGTTGGAGACATGTGAATATGTGGGCACTGCAATAAATTTCTCGAAATACGAAGCACAAGATAATTGTAATATTCGTATTTTTTTAATTCAATTATAAAATCATACTATCTTAGGGTTTCGAAATAGTTAGTAGTTTCAGTTTAGGTACTTATTTATTTCTTGTTATCATTTATGCATTGCTTCTAAATTTGTTAAAAATTTCCATTTACTACTAGTGCCTATTTTAATATGGAGTCACTGTGTATGTTTTACAATAGCCATGTTCCTGTACCTTTTCTAATTAGTAAAACAAAATCGATCGGAGAGTTCATGCGTCTGGCTTGTGAGCACGTTAACTCTCGAAGGGATTAACCGATAACATTTGAACTTTGCACATAGTAATATTTCTTCCAAACTTAAATCAAGTTCGAAGATGGGGAATTTCGGTCCATTGCTTCTGGTACCTCCCACACAAAATGGTAAAAGCTTTGAAAATTAATTTTTAAATATAATGCCAACGGACTTATCATATGGATTAATTTGAATATTCACAAGTTTTATGTTAAGCGAATGAAATGTATTTTACCAAATAGGTTCTGGAACGTAGCTATCAGTATTGATTCTTCAGCAACTGATTGTACCCATTTTGAAATATGAAAGAAACCTGGCAAATAAAGAATTTACTATTTACGCTCCTAGGATTGTGTGAGTTCGACATTCAAAAACTTCTGGCATTTAGTTCGGTGAAGGGTTGTTCTAAAAATGAAATTTTGTAAATATGAATGAAGTGGATTAGCCCCCAATGAATATTTCCAAAACAAAAGAAATATCTCGATATAATTATTGGTTATATCACATGGAACTTGACAATTATTTTTTTTTTTCAAAATTTATTAAATTAGGTTTGTATTGAAATAAACATTTGTTGTTGAAAACTTCGAAACTTAAAACTTAATTTTAAAAACACATCCTAATACACAAATCATAAACAAATTATTTCGTAAAGTTGCATTTTTTATTTCATTCATTTATTGTCATTATATAAAAATTTATCACCTTCTAATGAGCATATTTTTTCACAACGCACAGACCAGGATGTTGCCCCATCTGAAAATGTGGTCAATTCCTGTTGTGCAGGACAAAAAAGAAAAAAAAACAAAACTCTATTTAATTAATTTTCCCATATTACGACACCAGTACCTCGGTTCGTTCGTTGGTTAATAAATCCATATGGAGATTCGCCAACTAGAATTTTAATTATTTTATGCCGCTTATCAATTTAATGTCTAAATTACATAATTAGCTAGCTGGCTGTTGGTTCGGCTCGGTTTGGTTTGGTTTGATACTAATGTGGTTTTTTTTTTTGCATTGTGTTTTTATAGGTTCAACGCTGACCTAGGAGCTATGGACCAGCAATTCTGTCTACGCTGGAACAATCATCCGACAAATTTAACCGGTGTCCTCACCTCCCTGCTGCAACGAGAAGCACTTTGTGATGTTACTCTGGCCTGCGAAGGTGAAACAGTAAAGGTGTGTTTTTATTAATTAAATAATTTAGTATGTATGTGGGTGATTCTGTATTAAATACACTGTATGAGAACTCCTTGAACACTCCAACATATATATTTCGCTGTTACAAGAATCGCTTATGATGTTGTGTATACGGGAATTTCCTTTCATTATAAGCTTTCATTTCGAGAGATATGTCAGATACAGAAACTTAATAATAGTAATCAATCAAGCTACATATGGTAATATTCATTTCAACCTTAAATCAAGTTCGAAGATGAAACCAATCGGCCCACCCATACGAGGTTCATAGAACAAATTACATTTTAAATTATTAATTTAAAATAAAATTAAAAAAAAACACAAAGAAAGGGCAATTTGCATTGCAGTGCTCCAACATTATGCAGATCCTTCTTAACATTAAACAAAAAATAAATATTATCATTTTCTGTTTTCAGGCTCATCAAGCCATACTATCAGCATGCAGTCCATATTTCGAAACAATATTCCTGCAAAATCACCATCCACACCCAATAATCTACTTGAAGGATGTCAGATACTCAGAGATGCGTTCCCTGCTGGATTTCATGTACAAGGGCGAAGTCAATGTCGGCCAAAGTTCATTACCGATGTTCCTCAAAACAGCCGAAAGCCTGCAGGTGTGTATCCGTTGCATTTGGTTGCTAGTTGAAATAGTTCTTCCATTTTTATTATTAATTTCATTCATTTTCGCTTTGGCTTCCAGGTGCGCGGTCTCACAGATAACAATAACTTAAATTATCCTTCCGAACTTGACAAACACCGCGATGCAGACATTTCATCGCCCACTGGACGAACATCATATGGTGCGGGAGGCGCCAGCGGTCCAGGTTTGGGTATGCGCGGTGAACGCGAATCACGTGATCGAGGTCGCGGAGAAATGCGCGACGACCTGCATTCACATCGCAGCAGCAGTAGTCTTAGTGAACGTAGTTCGGCGACAGCAGCCGCTGTGGCTGCAGCCGTTGCCGCAGCAAGTGGAAATGCCAGTTTACAATCTGCCGCAGCAACACTTGGCCTAACTGGCGGCGAACGATCTCCTAGTGTTGGCAGTGCCAGTGCAGCAGCTGCAGCAGTCGCAGCTGTTGTTGCTGCCGCAGCCGGTCGAAGTGCCAGTGCCGATGTCTTAAATAGTCGCGCTGACGCCGGCAGTGATCGCGGTAGCGATCGCGGCAATGACAACAGTGTTTGTGGTGGTAGTGTAGATCGTGGTGGTGTTGACGAACGTCGCGATGATCTGGGACAAATAGATTACAGCAATCAGAGTAAGAGAGACCGCGACAGAGAGGTGTCAACCACACCAGAACATATTATTAGTAATAAAAGAAGACGTAAGAACTCATCTAACTGTGATAATTTGTTGACCTCGACCCCAAATGTGAATGTACAGGACAGGCATTACGCTCAAGACTCTCAGGTAAGTGAAGTGAAACAACATAAATAGTTTATTGAAATAGAGGATAATCGCAAGTATTTCAAAAATAACAACGGCTACTTCTAACACTATGAAAAAAAAAACAAAGAATGTTAAATATTATAGAATAGTGGTATAGATGCCTAGTTCCATCATTCGACATCGAATTATATATTTTAAAAATTTGAATCGGGCTTTTCGCCTTCGGATTTATGTAGAGTTTATAAATAAAGCTTTCAAAGCTTTCATTCTTCACACACAATAAATTTGTGTTCAAAACTAAAAATATTATTCGCAAGGATTGAATCCGAATAATGGATTTTCAAGTTATACTATGAATCTCCATTAAACAATAGAGTGTATTATTGTATATTTATTATCGTTTTACAGCCTTCATGTCTTTGTCTTTGGGATTTACACACGGTTCCTTTTGAGAATATACATAGAAACACTTTCTAACATTTATGCATATATATATATATAATTTAATTATATTTATAATTAACAAATTACCGAACGTGTAACAGGTACATCAATTACCAACTATTTCTCGTGTATACTTTTAGGCACCCTCCAATTTTAAATCAAGTCCCGTGCCAAAATCATCGACTGGCGGTGGTGGTGGCGGCAACACATCAGAAACAGAGGACTCAGGAGGGCGTCGAGATTCTCCCCTATCAGCTGGTGCTCTCAGCGGAGGCGGCAATGTCAATGCATCGTCTGGCGGCATGGGTCTAAATCAATCGCTGAGTATTAAACAAGAATTAATGGACGCCCAACAACAGCAGCAACGCGAACACCATGTCTCATTGCCCCCAGAATATTTGCCGGTAAGATATTACATTTAAATCGATCTGAAGTCGAAAAAGACGAATTTAAACGAAAAGGGAAATATCGACCCTTTTCGCTCAAAGTCGAAAAAACACGATTACGAGTATTTGCCTATTTTCTTCTCATTTATTTTGCTTTATTTTGTTAAGGTTTTTTCTTTGGACCGGTACGATGGTTCCAATTGTTGTTGTTTTATTATTAGTTTTATTATTATTATTTTGAAAAAAATACATTGCCAAATTATTTCTGTGTTTTAGATTCGTTTCGTTAGAGTTATTTCAGTCCATTGTAAAATTGCAATGTCTGGCCTAGTTGCGTACAAAAATGCTTTAAACCTTAAAAGTGCACAAAACAAATTGTTTTCATCCTTTAAAAAAATCCATTGAGTTGACGATGGCATAGAAATTGTGGCCCGAAGAGGAGTAAACAAAACAAAATAAAATTCTCTGCATTTTATCTTTTTGGAAGGACGATGGATTATTGAGATTATGTTGTTAAGAATGAATATTTCGTAAATATCGGCCGTGAAAAAGAAAAAATCTAAACAATTTAAAGAGTTCTTGCTGGGAATGTCCATGTGTATGGGTGCCTGCCTGCCTGCCTGTCTGCAGCTGTGACAGCAACAGACCAACAGACGGGCCAACGCATGTCATTTGGTACACACAGCTCATCACACAGTTTTCCTTTCTTTGAAATTCTCAAAACCAAGACAAAAAAATACACAGAACGTATTATCCATTTCATTTGCTTTTGAGTTTAATTTTTTGTTTGTCTTCTTTTTGTTTCTTGCGTTCTTTTTTATGCGAATCTGTCCGTTTGACACATAGACTACCATTAATCTCGATAATCCTCGACAAACAAAATCAGGCAATAGTAATCAGAAGCAAATCAGCTTGGCCGAAACATTTTCTAAACAGTTGCAGCACGAATACGAACAATTTCACAAACAGCAACAACAACAGGAACAAGGAAGAATTCAGAAAGACCAACAGCAGCAGCAGCAACAACAACAGCAGCAGCACAACAGTATGATCTTCCAACATGCTGTCGAGGTTCAACTGCAAAGATTGCAACAACAAACCCAGCAACATATACAGAATACTTGGCAGCAGAATGTGGCCGACATTGAAATGGCTGCCTCGTCGACCATTCAACGTCTGCTGCAGCAACAACAGCAGCAGCAACAACACTCTTTTTTATCCAATGCATGTGAGGCATCCACTTCACGCAATGCATCGGGCAATACAAATCTTGCCTTGAGCCGGGCCACACCCAGTCTAGCGCCGCCGCCCCCAGCCGCGGCAACGTCTCGCAAAAATGGCCGCTTCCGTACGAACTGGCTGTTTCTGTACGACTGGCTGCAATATGACGAACACTCAAACACGATGTACTGCAAATTCTGTCGCAAGTGGTCAAGTGAATTGCCGGACATCCGGACGTCATTCGTCGAAGGCAACTCGAATTTCCGTCTTGAAATTGTCAATCATCACAACAAATGCAAATCACATCGCATGTGCTACGAGCGAGAGAAACAGGAGTGCAACACGCAACAAAAGGATGTTGTCAAAACAACATCGTTGCTGGCAGCCGAATTGACGAAACCCGAAACAAAACAAGCCGGACACACAACGGACACAGCGAAACCGCCAGAGATCATAACCATAAATGTTGGCGACGATAGTTCCTAGTCGGCGATGTCTTAGCCGCAAAACGAAACAAATCCCTTCTGGTGAACTCTCAGGTCAAATGCGAATAACTCCACCGTCAACAAATAGTTTATGTGTCGTCGTCATCGTCAACTCACCATTTATTCCACATTGTTTTGAAATTTCAATGTACATTTTTGTATGTTTTAAGTTTTAGTTCTTAGCGATTTTGTACGTGTTTAAGGTTTGAAGCATTTCTTTGTAAATAAATTCCGAACAAGTTACTCAATGAGTAAGGCGCATGTTTCTAAGAAAATTTCGATTTTGTTTTTCTTTTCACTCCCCCTCTCTCTATCTCTGCCCTGCCCCCATAGCCCGGAGCATTGAAGCACTCCGAAGATATGGCATCATTGCTATCAAGTCACTCCATGCAAGCGGCTGACTCACGCGAGGATCACAACGATGCAAAACAGATGCCCTTCGACCAGTCCGACAACATTGATGGTAAGTCCTTTTTCATTGATCTACAAATTTTCTTTTTGATCTAGTTTGCGTTTAGTCTAAATTGTTTGATCGACACCTCTTTCTAGATTTATTTTGTAATATTATTGTATAAAAAAAACAGAAAACAACAACGACCCCAAATACTCGTATAACAACTATTATGTCATTATTTACCCTTTCTCAGCAAACATACCAACCTTAATATAATTACATGTATACATATAAATATCAATATATACATAATAATAATACACATAGAAATTAGTTAATTAGTAGTATCCTCCTATTTGCCTTTCTTTATTTTTTTCTTTAAAGTAGTTCCTGTTATTTATTTTTTTATTAATTTTTTTTGTTATATTTACTCCTATCCTATTACTCGCCTTCCAATTCGAACCAAAAATACAACAAAAAAAAAATACATTGTTCTTCAATACAAATGAGGTGTGTTAATAGACGGACACAATGCTGTCAATGTCAAAGTTAACAATTTGAAATATATTTGTTATGTAAGTAGATATGTTGTTTGTAACTAGATCTTTCTAAAATTTAAATACATATACCAATCTGATTGTGAGATGAGGTTCCAAGGTTCAGCCTTCCATTTTGACATATTCATAAATAAACGAAAATCCGAATCATCACATTTTCCGATATATGTCTTCATATTCAATACATTTTTGTTGTTTTTATTACTTTAACAATTATAGCCTTTTTAAAATTCGAGTATACAGAAACTGTCGGAAAATAGCCGAAATAACCAATAATGTTTGATTCCCTCACAGTTGTGACTTCTTCAATCTAACGAGATGCGTGGCTAGACCACGTAAGATGAGAAAATAGATAGTTGCATTAATACTCGAATAAATGGGATACTCCTAAAAGTAGGCTACATTAAATTATATTGAAATTTGTTTGTTTTGACAGCAGCTCCTTCAACACATTTCATTTGTAAATTGAACCAACAATGTAATACACCCAATAATACTATAAGCTACAGAAAAATAATTTCCAAAATTTCGGTTTGGTAATAACAAAACAAAAAAAACTCCTTGTAAATCACTTCCAAAATTATAATTTTCAAGAATTGGTTTTCAGTTTATCTACACTTACCTAAATGATAGAATTCCTCAATTGATTAATTAATTAACTTGGTACCCCTCTCAAAAATCAGTTTAGATTTTTTTGATATTTTGTTTGCATGTCGCAGATCCTTTTTTTAATTTTCAAAACTACTATCCCCTGGAATATATACTTTACATACATATATACTAAATATATATTTTATTATTTGCCTATTTTATCTAGTGTTAGTGCTAAATTTAGTGAAGGGAATAGAAATCTCCTCATATCATTGATTCTATAATCAATTGTAATAAAATGTAAAATATTGTTTGTAATTTTTATACGCTTGCGTATGTATGTATGTATAAATAGCATATCCTCCCATATACATACGTATAATTTGCACAATGTTTTTGGGTTCTTAATTTCAAATTTGTTCTTTCTTAAATCTGCTACTAGTCAAATGCTATAAAAACTACAAGCAATCAAAAATTTTAAATCATAAATTAAAATTTTGAAACAGAAATACATATGAGGAAGCACACAAACAAGCAAACAAAACTATCAAACTAAAAACACTTTTATGATATGGAGATTTGCCTTTAGAGGACAATTAGAACCGAAACAAAATTCTATTTCAGACACTTTACTTTGCCCTTCTATTATTGACTTTGAAAGCAACAGATCAACACCTCTCCTACCAAATTAGCGAATATTCAAAAATAAAACATCAATTCAAATTGTTAGTCAGATTAAACAACAAATACATAAAGCATCAGCAAACAAGCATACCTACCTGCCTATTATATAATCCAAATATTGATAATTTCAAATTGTTGATTTCAAATTAACGAAAATAACAATATTTATATAATACCAGGACATAGAAAATATACCAGACATTCACACACATGTAGTCAATATGGCTTGAATTCGTTAACTTAGGTACATACTTTTATATATACCTACTATACATATATCTAGTGTGATCGTTTGTTCGTTCGTTGCATGCTGCATGTCGAGTAGCCATACATTGTTTTTATATACTACTTCCTCTCACTTTATATCTCTATTACTCCCTATTTACCTCTCTATATATATGTACCCAAATGCATTTCTCATACTCCTCACAACTTTACTGCAGTTTATTTCAAGTTTTGAGCAATTTTCATTTTCCAAATTTTATTTTCTATATTTCATTTACGTATGTACCGACCTACAAAACTATACATGTCTGTCCTGTAAAACACTTCCTTTCACACTGTTTTTTTTCATTTTAATTACGAAATTTTTGTGTATTAGTATTGATTAACATTTATATTGTTTTGTTTTATTATTTATAAGTTTTTTTTCTTCTTTTTAATTTCGTGTTTATATTATTTTAACATCCATCTGAAAACATCAACTAAATAACTTCTTAACGACTGCGTATAAGCGCAAAAAAGAAAACAAATACTGAAAACTAGATACAAAACAAGTAGGAGACCATAAAGCCCTGCCCCAAAATAAAATAACAACAACAAAATACATTTATATTCCAAATTCTTTTTCATCTCAATTACAAAACAACAAACAAACAAAAAAATGCCTCCGTTTTATGTTACTCCCTAAATGATATATTCTCTATATACATATAGGTATTTTATAAGTACATAATAATATTTACGTTACGTCATCAACAATTGGCTATAATTATCGAACATCCACTATATAACAAAATCATGTCCTACATATATAAGGTGATCATCCAGAAATGTCCACTGTAATGAGATTCTCTAACCAATGATTAAATAAAATTTATTTCGTGGTTTAATGCGAATTATGTTGTCATTAAGGGTTTTATCCACGGCATATCTTGGTTCTATCCGTGTCCTCTTCTTATTCATATTGCCTAATATCTCAAAAAAAAATAAATATTCAGATTATTGCATTGATTAAAAATGGCAACAAAACTTAAAACTCTTACTGAGTCAATTTTATCAGTAAGAGTTTTTAAATAATCAGTACATAACTGCCAAAATGTCTCTCTGAACTTACTCTCATTTATTAAACGTTTAAACTATAAGTCAATAATCAGTAACAATTTGTTACACACTTTTGGGATATCAAACCTAATATTCTTCGATTTTTTTCCAGTAGTTCGTTGTCACAGTTTTTAGATAGGCTGAATTGTTTCCAATTTCCCATTTCTTACTGCCTTATTGGTTTTTTATGCTCAACTGAAAAGATAAATAAAAGAAAGAGTTAAGGGGGAAACACATAAGAGAACTTCAGGCTTGTCATGTTAAGTCGGCTTCTATTAATAGTTGTGTCTAGGTACTTTTCCAATAACATTTAATATTTTAATAATAATAATGTTTTATTCTCTTTTGCAATAATTTTATTAAAGAATAAAATTCATAAAATTATTTTTTTTATTTTTATTTTGGTCGAAGTTTAAAATTAACGACTGATTGATATACATCGAATTGTGGAAGATAAATCTAAATTTGCTAACATTCAGAAATTTTCCATAGAACAGTCTCAACATTCAGTAAATTTTCAAATATCGAATCAACAGTCACAGCTATTGTAAGAAATAAAGAAGAACGGCTTCTGTGAAAAAATCAAGCTTAACTCTGATATTCCTTAATAAATTGACATTTTATACAAAGTCAACTTAACAGTCCAGGCTTGAATCCTCGTATGTGTTTCCCCCTTTATTGTTTTTTCATTCATTATTACAGTTGATGAATGATATTTGAGGCCCAAATACATAGCACTTTGACTTGTTAAGATGGCCTTGTTAATTGTTTTGTATATCCAATGGATTAATCTAGATTAAAATTTTAGCACACCAATTTCGATTTTCGATATTTACTAAATTTGAAAGTTAATTCCAAAATGTTACAAGACCTCCGAAATCCAATCAAGTCAAATAAAATCCTTTGTGCCTTTCAAACATGACTGGATATATTGTGTTCTTGTTGTGGAAATTCGCCAACTGGATATGATCACATATGATAGGCATGGAACTCTGAACCATAATCACTGCTTTCATTGATTAATTTTCATGCTATGTCAGACACATCGTGAATAACCCAACAAACAATAATAATTCATTAAAAAATCATTGTCGTTAGTTTGGTAAAGTGTAATTAACATTTTTTTTAGAAAAGATAACAAAATTTACTAAACTATTTTTACATATATACAAATGTAATAAAACAGAATAACTAAAAAGGAGACTGGCGGAATAAATCCAACAGGACAAAAAATTGTGTAAATAATTCCAGTTCTTAGTGTAAATTTCCTCAATTTGAAATCAAACAAACTGTCTAAACGTGTTAACATCCAGCTAAAACTCGCTGTACTTTTCCATTTCTCAAAAACATCCATATTTGATGTTCTCCAACTATCCTAAAATATATTTACACGAGGAGTTTTTGTAAACCTAGGAATATACAATATATAGTTCGACTAAATAATTTCAAAATTACAAAGTTGCGTAGGTCATAAATATGTATGTATTTCCAAAGCTGTTGGAAATAAAACATTTTGAAATATTTTTTAGTATTACTTCAAATACATCGGTTGTGTGTATTCGATTCCAAATTCCGCAAAATTCGATGGCAAATGTCCTAATTGCAATTTTTTGGTAATTATCGATCAAAGCTTGCTTCTCAAAATAGGATTCGATAATTAGGTTAAATATATGCCTTGAAAACTACTACGCTTTGAATTAACACACATCGTTGTTATATTCTGTTATAGACGTAAAAGCCAAACAACTTCATTGACATTTTCACCAACCAACACTACCAACATCATCACCCCCTATTCTAGATCCGAATCTACACTACTACATACATAACCTTAATTATATTTTCCTCTACTTTTTGTCTTTAATGTTGCAACTTATGAATAAAAAATGTTAAAAAAAAAACCAATACAAACAATTAAAAAACGAATAAAATAACGTATTGACATTTTAGTAAATATTAACTGGATTTAAATGTGCTCTTATGTTCTATTAAATATTTATAAGTATTTGTGGTTTTATTTTTCTACAAAAAAAACAAAAACAATCAAAATTCTCTACTAAACGTTACTCTCAGCTGTGTTTTATTATTATTTATTTAAAAGCTAAACGAACAAAAAAACAAAGATTATTTATTTTTGATAATCAGTGATGGCCCTGAGCTCACAGCGATGGCCAACAATTCGTTGAAACCAATTCAAAATAATACATTTTGACATGACATGAAAAAGGAAGTGTGTGGATCTGCTAACTGAGGCTTATGTATTTTTTCCTTTACCTGTTTTATATATACTCTTTTTTTTCTTACTTCACATCTAACGTTTGTTTTTTCTTTGTACTAACTTTTATTGTGTCGTCCTTTCTTTTTTCTTTTCCTTCGATAAACAACAAGTACAAAAGCAAAAAATTAAAAAAAAAAAACAAATTATACCTAAACAGAAGACAATCTCTTTTATTGCCGCACATAATATTTTGTTTGTTCGTTTTTTTTTTTTTTTTTCAATTAAAAAAATATTGAAAATTGAATATTGCCAGCCAACACCATATTACCCTGCCCAGCTAAATTTTTGTTATTTCCACATACATGTATGTATGCAAAATTGGTATATTTGTTTATATGTATGTGTGTGTATATGTGTAAATTTGTATGGGTATGGGCATGTGTGTGTGTGTCTGTGTTTAAGTTTGTTTTCCTTCTATGAGATTTAATACAATTTTTGAGACTTTTCCTCCCAATCTGTAAAGATCTCAAAATATCATGTTTTTTTTCTTGAAAATTGAAAGAAGTTTTATTTTGTGTTATTTATCTGGCCACCAATGGCCATAAGCAGTTGATACTTACTCTGCAGCAACATACTCTTACTTACATAATTAAATGTAAATTTTGCCAAATACTTGTTATCTAAAAAAAATAAAATGAAGCAATTAAGTGGAAAATAAATAACCAAAAAAAAAATAAAATAAAAGAGAGAGAATAAAAAACAAGGAACATGTTGCAACATTGAAACATAAAAAAGTAATACTTGTCAATCATTGTATCGAAATGTGTAGGAGATGAATAAAAGCGTTGCACAACAACATAATGAGGACTGAATAATTACAGAGAGAGACAGAGAGCTCCCATTTGATTACCAACCCCCTCCACAACAAAGACAATAAAAACCAAGAAAAGAATAATCTAAATACATACATATGTAATTACAAACTCGTACACTCCCCCCGCAAAGAAATAAGAAGAAACCGAAAAAATTACATACACTCACCACTACAATTCAGTTCAAATTTGAGTTCTTGTTTATGTTTTATTTATTTATTGATTTATTTTGAAGCTGAATTTTTGTTACATTTCAAGCATCATTAATTTTTGTTCCATTTATTTATTTTTTATTATTATTGTTATCTTTATATAAATATCCTTGTTTCTGTATATTCTTATAGTTATGATTATAATTGTTAATTTGCGCTCTGGCTTTAATTTAATTTAAGTTGACTCTTACACACAATACTTTGTTTTGTTAAAAGAAAAAAAAAGAACAACAACAACATAATTTTGATTTATTTTTCATTTTCAATAATATATCCCGGCAGTCAATACCAATTACCCTGCCTCCCCCCATGTGGCCCCAACCTCATCGAGTTGCGTTAATCTTAGTTTATCGGTTTAATTTCATTTTTTTAATGTTCTAATTTAAATAGAAAATTCATACACACTAGTTGAATTTATGCTATACCCTACATACCTAATACCATATATAACAAACAAACCAAAAAAAAACTAAACAATTATATATTTGCAAAAATACATACGAGGTAGATGTGATGATACAACACAAGTTTACAAGTTCAATTCATTTATTAGTTCAACAAAAACAATACAAATATTTATTACTTCGGGTTCCATTTCCAGTTTATATCTATCGAAACGTGGAAACGTTTGGATTCGAGTGAGTTATGGCCACATCCTTGGCTTTTAAAATGGGGTTGCATTGATTTTCAATTGGGTGATTAAAGTTAATCACGCGGTTTTTTATAAATTGAATTTAGTTCTATAATAACAATAGTTCGGTATGTGATGGGAACCAAATCGTTATAACTCTTTTTATATCACCATACCACAATTGTCAAATTCCTTAAATATATTATTGAATTTTCAATTGATTAATAAAAGAAATCAGCCGTCACGTGTTTATCAATTTATTTTCAATTACAGCTGGAAAACGTTTATCTTTATTTGGTCTTAGCATCACAGCGTATTGAAAACTATTCTAATATTGCAATTATTATTCCAAAATTAAAAGTGAAACTACTACAAATGTCATTTCATTCACTCTGACCTTGTAGACTTGTGTATGTTTAAACCTCATCAGCCAATCGTAAACAAAAACCAAAACATCAACATCAACGCCAACAACCAAAAAAAAAAAACAGAATTTAAAAAATATATAAAAAAAACTGTAGTTGACTGTTGTTAGTATTTTTATTATTTTTGAGTTTGCATTTAAACAATATAATTAATAATCTAGATGCATTTCTTTGTTAAATCCTATAATTTAGAACCTATTTAATTTACAAAATAATTTTCCTGCGAAACACTGTGACTATATAAATATACATACATATATAAAATTGGTCAACTCCACACACACATACACACACACACGAAAACACGTATACGTACAATTGACGTTAATTTACATATACACCCACCCACCCACACTGAGTATGACGCCCCTTAAGTTAACTAATTATTTCATACTTCCGACACGGAGCTTGACTACTGGATAGCTGTCGCAAGAATGCCTGAGAGTCATTGGCGGCGGCATGGCTGCCTGCACATTTCAGGATATTGAAATAATTACATGCTTTTTAGTTGCAACCGAATATCAACCAACCAACCAACCTACACACAAACGTTATCCAAAGAAAACATGAACAAAACAAACAAAAAACCCCCGAATCGGACCTCACCTGCTTTTCTTCCCCTAGTAAAAATATGTATTTGGTTATTCTTCCCGTGAAAGCAAAATCATAATTTACATACATCTCTATACATCCTATTGTCGCAATTGACATATCTACCTACCCAACCCAACTACCTAACTAGTTTTTCTTGGATAATAACACGAGAATATGCATAATACCAAAATGTTTACAGGTGAAATAATTGAGGGTGGTGGTGATGGCCTAAGGGGAGGTGGAGGAGGAGGGGGCGTCGTCACAGAAGCCGGCCACGGAGAAATGGGAGCAGTAGGCGAAGACGGTGATGACATGGAGAAAGGCTGCGGCAGTGCTGCTGCTGCCACTGACACGCAGCATCATAACATGCACAGTGTGCAGCGTACAGGAAAAATTGATGACGTTGGAGATAACGATGGTGGTGGTGGCGGCGACGATGACGATGACAGCAATGGAATCCTCCCAGCAGATGCCCGAGCTCACCATCAGCAACAACAGCACTGTCGGCGAATTCTCTCCAGACACGATGGCGATGACCATTACGCCGATGTCACAGAAGTGGCAGTGGATGTCGACAATGACGAGATCAACATGAACAACAACACCTACAACTGTCAGTATAAAAGCGATGACTTAAGCCTAACGAAAATCCGATGTCATCAGCGAGAGGTGTACGGCCACCATCAGGAGGCATCACATTTGGAGCACGCATCGCAACAGCCGTCGACGTCACATCGCCACATGCATCATCATCATCACCACTCACACCATCATTCGCTTCATGAAAGTCATGTGGCGCACCAGCAGCATGTTGCAGCGGCACCCCAAAGCGTCATCAACTTGGGCCGGTGTGGTTCATCCTCGCTGGACACACTGGTGGCAGCCGAAGCAGCTGCGGCAGCACTCTCGCCCACTGCGTCTAGCACCTCGTCGGCCTCGTTGCAACACCAGCAGCACATGTACGCTTTGCAACAGCATCACCATCACGGCCAGGAGCAGCAGCAGTCGGGTTTGCACCATCATCACCACCATGCCCAGCAACACGGCAGTGGCGCCCAACACGTTGCCAACTATCATCACGGTCACCATCCGAAACTGCATCCCTGCACGAATACCTCAATGGTCTCGTCGACAGCAATACCATCGGCCGCCCACGACAGCGAGCACCTCACCAACACATCCTCATCGACGTCATCGGCATCGTCTGCTGCAGCTGCAGCGGCAGCTGCGGCCGCTGCCAACAGGCGCGATCACAACATCGATTACTCGCTACTGTTCGTGCAGTTGTCGGGCACGCTGCCAACGCTGTACCGTTGTGTCAGTTGCAACAAGATCGTTTCGAATCGTTGGCACCACGCCAACATTCACAGGCCCCAGAGTCATGAGTGTCCTGTCTGCGGACAGAAATTCACGCGTCGAGATAACATGAAAGCCCATTGTAAAATTAAGCATGCCGACATAAAAGATCGTTTCTTCAGTCATTATGTACATATGTGATCAATTTTATATGTAGTCAAGTAAACAGTCAACGTTTTTCGTCGTCTCTCTCCAAAAATCTATATATCTTTCTATCTCTCTCTCTCTCTAACTACATATATACTTACATATATATCTAACTCGTTCTGACTTTAAGAATTACCTTCTTCGAATCAGCCAGAATTTAATCAATTAATAATAATAACAATAATAATAGTAATCTCTCTATAGTCAAGAAAAGATAGCAATAATTATAATAATAATAGTAGAAAATAGTAATCTTACCTAACAGCCATAATAACACTATTCGAAAATTAAATTATAAATTAAAAAAAAAAAAAGAAATAAACTACTTTCGTATATACTCGATTTCTCTACTACTACAACAACAACAACAAATAACTAAATAACCAAGCAACTCTTATCCAACGGAAAAAGTCAAATATCCGACACACTTACCGATTTAACAAAAATAGGCAACAGCAGATTCACAAATATTTAATCATATATTTTTCTCTTTCTATCTATATCTCTCTCGCTCACTCACTCACTCTTCTCTCTTCCTTAACTTAAATTAAATTAAATCAGTAGCCGTTAACTTAATGAAAATGAAAAATAAACCAAAACAAAATAGAAAATGCAAAAGAAATCCGCTTAAGTAAATCAAATTAAAACTGAATAGTATTGTAAAAATTAGAGACAAGTAGAAGATAAAACGAAACAAAACCAAATAATTTTTATTTTTTAACAAAAAAACAAACAAACAAAAGTATTATGTGAAGACACGGAGAAGGAAAAAGAAAATGCCAGCAAATATACTCTCAAAAAATAACAAGAAAATAAATAAATAACGGAAACCGAAACCGAACAAGTTTTGTATAGGCTGCTAAAACCGTCTCTTAACTTTAGTTAAAACAAGTGCAAAAGAAATAAAAATCGCGAAATCAAAGAATTTTCAAATGAAACTGAGATTGTGTTAAATTTATATACGTAATAAACAGTAAATGGAACAAAAAAAGAAGTAACCATATTAAAAATAATTACGATGATGGTGATGACGATGATCCGCATACTGCCGATGCGGTTGCGGATCGTTAATCGATTTAAGGATGTACTTTAAAAGTATTATGCTAGAAATTCCAATTTATTTTAAATTATTTTAACATGTCTTGTAGTTAAATTAACTAAATTAGTTTATTTGTTATTTATTGTACTTGTGTATTAATTTCTGCCATATATGCGTACATACACAGACATACCTATATAGTTTATTGATTTTTAGCCAATTATTTGTATTTTAGCCTAAGTTAGAAATGTTGACGAAATTTTTGGATGATTCTAAAATTTAAATATTCTGAAAATGCCTCTAACCACAAAATAAACAAACGAACCAAAGACAGAGAAGAAAGAAAGCTGTTCTTCTTCTACTTCGATATTAAACAATTTAAGCGTCAGTTAATCGCTTTCATCAAGACTTTATTTGAACCCTAATAAACAATCTAACACACGTACACACACACTAACGCATACATACAAATTCGCAACAGACTCCACAGCATTAGGATCTTACATATATACATTGTATACTTAAGAATCTACTAACCGGGCATACTTAGAGTGTGCCGTGTTTATACAGGCATATTTGAAATATACGTAATCAAATGGGACCTTATGTTTTTTAGTTCAATTCAAATCGAATTCATTTCCATTCTAACCGAAATACATACATATTTACATGTAACAATATACAAGCTCAAAAGATAAAAAAAAACGAAGCAAACTTATATATACACACACATATAAAGTATTACTAGAGATATTTACTAATGTACTTACCCAACTACCTACCAAACTACTTACCTATCAACATTACCACTTGCTAAGTACTTAATGACATAGGACTAGTGATTTTTTGCTTACCAATTACCAAGAGAATAATAAATAGGTCTACATTTACGCTTCTATTTAAATAAAGATTATGAAAAGAAGAAGAAAAAAAAAACAAAAACCCACACACATACATACATAACTGCTAATCTCACGAGGAGTTATTCTCTCCGTTTCGCTATAATCTCTATCTCTCTCTCTCCCTCTATTTTCCTCTGGGAAAAACAATTTAATGACATGTAGGTGACATTTTAGAAGCAATATATGTACAAATATAAACAATATATAGTCTATATAAATATATTAAAAAAAAAAACAATATTCATTAAATTAATAGATGACCTATTGAAGTAGTACTATTTTTAAAATCTACATACACACAGACACACTATAATTAGAAATTTACATAGTCTAATCAGAACAAAAGAAAAGAAAAACAATTGGGCCCTTTGACCTTGAAATAACCAACCAACCAACCATCAAAAACATGAACAACAAATACTTTAATAACGAGTACAAACACCACAAGCTTAACTTCCGGTATTAAGATATTGAGCAAAAGAGTGAGATTGTTTTAGGCATACACACACACACACACCCAATGGTATTTATTTCAATTCAATCCTCGATTCCAATATCGGGTGGCTCTGATTTATAATTATCTATATCGGTTTTCGTTCGTTCGTTCATCCCTTGCTCCCCCACTCCTCCCACCCCCTTCTCTCACACACTCACACTGAAACCGAAACGAAGTACTTAACCTTGGACTTCTTGACAACGAATTTATACCATTTTCAGAATATTTAGATTTTTTGTTTTTATGATTTTTGACAAGGATCTTCTTCGATTATCCCGTATGAGAAAAAGAACGTAACCCACCTTATTTGAACAAATAAAAAGCAAAAACGAAAAACAAGAATATAACAACAGCAAATTATTTAAGCGACACTGCAAACACTGAGGAAAACAATTTTGTAAAGAATTTCTTAGAAGTTCTAATTTTATTGAAGTGGTAAAAAAAAAAATGGAAACCGTAATTGTGTTTTTAGGGAAGTTAACAAAGTTAAGCTCAATATTATTATTATTAATCAAATTAATATGAAAAATCAAAAACAAATCACCAAAAAACAAGTCACACATATTTATATATAACAAAAAACAAAACAAACAAATATATATAAATACAAATTGCAACATTAAATAAATGTATTTAAAGAAAAAAAAAATAAATACAAAGAGTATATGCTAAACAAAACAAAATATTTAAAACAACATCTTTTAAACAATTAAAAATAAAACTTCTTTCAATTTCAAAAATGAAAAAAAGCAAAAAAAAAATTAACAAAATAAAAATTGTGTTTTAATTCTTCCACACACACGCCTACCTCGTCATGTCTCATGTATGTTTTTTTTTTTTTTTTTTTTTTTTTTGTTTTAAAAATATGTTCAATATTATTATTTCCTAAAATTATACTTTCTTCCACCCACTATCTACATAAAAATTGAAAAAGAAAACAAATGAGAGTTGAAATCTCAAAACGGTAAGTTTTTGTGTATATGAATGTTAAGTATGTATTTGTTAATAAATAAATCAATAAATTTACAATGTTGCTGCATATAACGTTTTCCACTTTTTGATTTAAGGAAACAAAAAGTATAATAAATAAAAAAATCTTTTTCAGTACAAATTCAAAACAAATAAATTTACAGGAATTGGCCGTTAATCTCCAAAAAATTGTTATTAATTTTTTTTTTCAAATTTTTAAGAATTTTTTTAGTTTCGATGTAATTGATTGCGAAATCTTCTTAGGAGGAGGGGTGTTGAAAATTATTGAATTTAGTTCGCTGATAATGCAGTATGTTTTTTTCAGACACTATGTGCTCAAATAATTGTATATTATGGTTGAACATACGCACATATATGGCAATAAGTTTATAGAGTTTTTTTTTTGTCAAATAATGGGTCATCAATTGAACCGTCCAAGAAGAAATCCCTTTTATAAAAACCCCTCTGTTTGTCATACACATACAATCTATCCTTTAAATTCACATTTAATATCTACTTCTCTACCACATTTCACATTTTCCGCTCTTCTGTGCTCTCTACTTCTCTATGTCTCTGCGAAAACATGTCTTTCATTTCGTTACTCCTAAGTGTCTTTAATTGGGTTATGTTCCAGCGAATGATTTTTATTTTTTGTTTTTTTTTTTCGATTTAACACTTCTCCCCTTGTACATTGTATTTATTAAACGATAATCAAAAAAAAAAAAATGCCCGAAAATCGAAAAAAAAATAATAATATTGTAATGGTTTGGGTTTAATTCAAATAATTTAATTATGTTAATCAAATAATAATACAAGAACAACAACAACAACCAAATTACATCTCATGTAATCTGTCAAATTTACTTATTTACTATTAACTTGGTACGAATTTTCTACATAACTACATATTTACATACAAACATATCTAGTATCGACCATTTTTTGTTGTTTTTCAATCGTTTAACAATACTTTGGTTAAAATAGATCATATAACGTTTAATAAAATAAAACCAAAAACAACAAAAAACAAAACAACCCCGAAACTAAGAACATTTTATGGAGATGGTTTAAATCTGTATTAAATTACTTTTGTAAATAACTATAACTCTTAAGATTTACAACTATATTCTATTCAACTTATCGTTATACGAATATTTTTTACATGTCTAGAGTACATATACATATATATATATCTAAATGGTCCTAGAAAAATCTATATAATATACCCATTGAAGATACCCGTTTTTTGGGTGTAACAGAATGTGTTGCGATCGAAGGCTGAATCACAAAGAGGTCAATTTATTGACCTCTGTCAAGTACTAACCTCACTTTCTATCATCTCACTCATTTATTTTTTGATAATTCAACTCAAACCGTTTGAGTGAGAGTGAGAACGAACAAACTGCTGCGACCATATCGATGCAAGATTTACAAGCTTTTCAAATCGGTGTTTGTAGGACCTAAACGACACTGTCTCACTACTCGGTACCATCCAATAGTGTTAAGCATTAGCATTTAAGATTTTCCTCTTACCTAACTCTACTACATTAACGTTTTGTTTCTTGAGAATCACCAACAAAAACAATGTTTTCTCTTCTTTTTTATTCTCTGCGTGTGCAAATTG